CGGTGCGGCGGTGCCCGGCGGGGCGGGATGCGAGCCCCGCGGCGGAGGTGAGGAGCGCGTCCGTGGGTGCGCGCGTCATCCGTCCGTGGGGCCGTGAGTGATGCGGGTCGGGGCGTCCGCGTGCCCCGGGCACGCGTGGGGGCTGCGTGTGCCCCGGGACGCCCGTGGGGGGGCTGCGTGTGCCCACGCTGGGCCGTGGTGATGCCGCGGCAGGTTGAGGCCCAGGTACCAAGCGGCATCGGCGTGGCCGGGATGCGGGTGTGCTCCCTCGGGGCTGTGTGGGGCCGGACACGGGCTGTCCCAAGCCCCCATTCCCCTTGGGCGGTGGGTGTCCCCTGCCTGCTGCTGGGGTCCCGCAGCTTGGCGCTGGTGGCAGGGCTGTGGGACACCCTGCTCCCAGCTGGGCCCCACGCTGGGCAAGGCCGGGAGCGCTGCTGGGCATCCAGGAAAGGAACAGGGACCCTTTGTCCAGCACCGGGGGCACACGGGTGTTCGCTGCCCCGTGCCGTGAGGACCCAGGGGTGCCAGGGCAGCGTGGGCTGTGCCAAGCAAGAGGGCAGGAGCTGTAGAGTCCTGTGGGGCTGTAGCACTGGCTCTTCTCGGGGCGCTGGGCAGGTGGGGTTTGCTGGGAGATGCTGGGCTGAGGGTGGCCCCGGGGGAAGGGCTGTGGTTTAGGGTGCCGGCATGGGGAGCTTGGCTTCCCCCATCTCCCCAGCGCTGTTTGCATCCTCCCTGCTCTTCCCCTGGCTCTGCCCATCCCCAATTCCACCCTGAGCCGCTGGCCAGACCGTTTGTCCCGGCACCCGGCCAGGGCTGCCGGCCCTCGGGAGCTGTGCCGGCTGCCACGCGTGCGGTGCAGCATTGGGAGCCGTCATCGCCAGAAGTGTGGGTAACGCCAGCCCCCGGCTCCCCCCATCCTGCCACGCTCAATGGAGACCTTGTTGCCGTGCCCCGTGTGCAGGCAGTTGGTGGGCGGCCGTGCCGTGTGCCGTGCACGCACGCCCAGGCACGCAGGCGGCCGCCGCGGTCGTGGCCGGCTGTCCCCCGCGCTACCTCCCCCGTGGCGGCACTCAGCCCCTGCTGAAACATTTGTGCCGACGAGTCAGCGGGAAGCCGGGCTGTGCCACGCTCGCTCGGCATCCCGGCCCTGGCACTGAGCTGCCACGCTCGCCCTGGCCTTGCCCGGCCCTCGCCGTGGCCCCTCTGCCAGCCTGGAGACTGTCGCCTGCACCCGGAGTGGCTGTGGCTGAGCACGGGGCTGGGGGCTGCCTTCCATCCCTCCATCCATCCCTCTGTCCTTCTGTCTGTCCGTGGGAGGTGATCCAGCAGCAGGAGGAGGTGAGTTGCCGTCGGTGCGCTAAGCGGTGCCGGGCGCTTTGGGAATGCTCTCCCGTGTGGGGTAGCGGCCACCCTCACGCAGCCCACATGCCACGGCCCTGGAAGCCACCCCTGCGTTCTCCCCTCTCCCCGGCAGCACCCTGGGGTGCCGGTGCCAGCAGGCAGCCGCGGTGGCCCTGGTGCAATGCCACGGAGATGCTGTGAGTCAGCGGGTGCTCTGAGTCAGGGCCGTGTGGCACCCCTCGTGCCAGGGCTTGAAGATAAATCAGGGTGGGAGGTGCTGCCTGGAGGGTGGGGGGCCGCGAGGCTGTGCCCCCCCTCCAGCTCCACGCTGTGCCGGCGGCTCTGCTCCATGCCCTGGGGTGGCATGGCCAGCATGAAAGGGGCTCTTGTCCTCCTGCAGCCCCGGCAGCACCGCGGCGGCCTCTCCTTCGCAGCAAACAAATTCCCAGTGTTGGGCACACGGTCAGGGAAGGGGGGAGCCCCCATCCAGCCCAGCCGGCTGTGGCCATGGTGGAGCCCGGGGCTCCTGCCGGTCCCAGCATCCCCATGGCCCGGCATGGGGCTCCCAGTCCTGGTGTTGGGGGGTGCTGGCTGGGCTGCAGGAAACTGGGTGCTCTGCTCACTCATCCCAGAGCCCATAGCCAGCCATGATGTGGGGCTGGCCCTGCCTCAGGGTGGCCCCAAGGAGCCCCCACGGCACTGGAGCTGCAGGGGTTGGTCACCCTCCTGTCTGGGTATCACCCCTCCAGGCATTGCATCTCGTCGGGTGTTGTGCTTCCTCTGGTATTGCACCTCCTTGGGTGTCACACCCCCAGGTGCCGTACCTCCTCGGGTCTTGTACTGTGTCTTCATGGGTATTGTGTCTCTGAGTATTGCGTTTCCTCGGGTATCAGGCATTTGGCTGTCATGCCTCCTTGATTTTTGTCTCCGGGTATTATGCTGGGTGCCATGCCTCCTTGGATGCCATTTCACTGGGTACTGTGCTTCTTCAGGTATTTTGCCTCCTGGGATATCATGCTGTGGGATATCGTGCCGCTGGGTACTGTGCTTCCTTGACTGTTGTGCATCCTTGTGTATCTTGAATCTGGGTATCATGGCTCCTTGGATGTTTTGTTTCTGGGTATCGCACCCCTGGGTATTAGTCCTCCTGGGGTGTCATGCCTCCAGAGGTTGTGCCTCCTTGGATATTGTTCTTCTGGGTATTGGGTCTCCTCAGGCATCATGCTTCTGGTTATTGTGCCTCTGGGCGCCTCTGGGCACCGCACCTCTAGTACTGTGCTTCTGGGTAGCATGCTGGTTATGGTGCCTGGCAGGGCGCAGGGCCATGCCTGGCCAGCACTGGTGTGTTTAAAGCCATCGTGCCTCAGTTTCCCCTCGTGATGGGTTGTTGCTGCAGGGGCTGTGGCAGCCTGTGGCTGCCTCCCCCTGCTCCCTCCCATGCTGGCAGTGCTGTGTCCCCTGCTTGCAAGGTGCTGGTGTGGTGTCCCTGGCTCTAGGGACATGGCCCCAGGGCCCCTACCATGGCCTGTGCCATGGGAATGTGCTGGCCCTGCCTGGCCATTGGGACTCAGTCTTGTGCATATGGGCAGGACACTGTGCCCACTGTGGTGCTGGGGGTGAGTGCCCACCTCCCTGCTCATGGGACCCCACCAAAAAGCTGTCACGCTGACCCTAGAAAATAAATATTCTTCTTTTTTTTAAAGGAAAAAAATCTGTGGTTTTTTTTTATTTGTGGGTTGGGTTTTTTTTTTCTCTTTCTTTTAAATTATGAAATGACTCATGCTTCTCAGCTGAAAATAAACCTGATTGCGGCTGCGGTGGGGAGCTGGTGAGCTGTGATGGCACGGGGCCCCTCGGAGAGCGGCCGGGGCGAGCCCTGCCTTAGGCAGCCCCTGCTGGCTGCCAGCACCCAGACCCCCACCCCAGGGCTGCCGGGGTGTGCTGTGGGGGCTCAGGTGGCCCTGCCAGGGCTGCTAATGGGGCTAAAGTGCTCCTAAAGGGGCAGCGCCATCTGCACGGCCCCCAGGGCCTTGTGTCTTTGCACTTAGAGCAGATGCCTGCCAGCTGCCGGAACACACGCGCGTGCACCCCCACGTGTGCACGGACACCCGTGTGCCCCTGTGCACGCACACGCAGGCATGCACACCCACCCCCCACGCACCCTCACGGATGCACAAGGGTTTTGCCTTGCCTGGAGTTTGCCCCCCACCCCAGGCAGGCTTTTGCGTGACCATTTGATGTCTGGAGCTCACCTCTGCCGCCCCCCCCTCCCAGTGCCCACCAGCCGCTTGCAACCCACCCGGGGTGGGAGAGATTGCAGCAGCAGCCGCTGCCATGCAGAGCCTTTGGTAAAATCCCCCATCGTAAAATCCCCCACCGCCCTCCCTGGCCCCTCTGGCACAGCAGCTGGGTGGTGCATGGGGGACCCTGGGGGCTGGACCCCCGATGCCATGCGTGACATGGCCGTGTACTCCTCTCCGCAGGGACCCCTGCAGCGGCAACAGGCCAGCCGTGCTCCCCGGAGCCAGCTGCATGGCGGGTAAGACACCCCAAGAGCCCACCCTGTACACCCCATTCCCGTGCCCAGCGCCCCGGCAGCATGCATTGCCCCAGGGGATGGCCAGCAGCTTGCCGGGCCCGAGGTGTCCCGGCGTCCTTCCCGGTGACATCTTGGAGGCAGGCGGTGTGTGGAGCAACCGCTTTGCTCATCTGACTGCCGCTCGCCCTCGCTCCCTCCCAGCTTCCCAAGATGGGCCATGGGGTGAGGGTGATGAGGACCCTGCGCCGGCTGAGCCGGGGGGGTCCCATGGCCCCCCGGGTGCTCAGCCCCAGCCTGGTCCTTTGGTGCAAACATGTCTCCTCCGGGACCTGGAGATGGGTCCACTCGCCCAGACGCAGACCCTGCGGGACTTCGAGCAGGTGAGACCCGGGGGTGCCGGAACCCCCGCCATGGCACCGCCAAG